CATTGGTCACAGGCGGAAGTCATGCTGACTCAGTTTCCAAATCTTATTTAGAAACAGCGGTGGAGATGCTCTAATGTGCAAGGAGGAGTTGGATTCTGCAGAGCGTCTGATATCGACAATAACACAACACTGTTTTCACAACAAGGAATATGCTCCAACTAGACGATTATCGCAACGAACTGCACTTTCCACTAATAACCGGCAAAATTGTGCAAGTCTACAGAACGGCAAAAACAAAGAACGATAGCCCGTGTTATAAAAAATCATCAAATTTAACAGCGCTGAATCACGACGACGTGAATCAGAACGATTGTCGACCTCCTTATAAAACATACACCACTGTGGTAAAGTATACAAAAATCTTCAAAATTATATAAACTCTATTCATATATCTCACTCGTAAACTGTTGACTTCGACCAGCTACGGTCAGAACAAAGGAGATAGAGGCCAGTATCGGTAAGCAACTATAAACTAAAATGATTCTTCGAACACAGAAAACTTACACTATGATTACAACAGGACTTGCTCAGACTAAAACACGTCCACTAAAACTAGAATCGTGAACCTACACTAGGGGAACTAAACGTAAGTGTTAACTTTCTTAAGCTAAATTTGATAAACTATTGTTAATTGATATAGTTGCTGTCGTAATGAATTACACTATAAAAGACAATAACCTACTTTAACATGTATATTGAAACCATAAATACTAGTAGGGGAATTTACGTATTCTCGGCAACCTAAGCAGCGACCTTCTTTCTATAGCCTTTTACTCTATGGAACGCACACATATGCAGTATTGGTTTGTTTACAATCTTTTGCTACCAGCTGCTCTAACAATTTCTGTCGAAAGAATTGTCAAAAACTGTTTTGTAACGCTTTTACAAAGCTCCAATCTTCTCTAGTGAGAGCGAGTATTGTCGGCAACCAGTTTTTCTTCGGCAACCAGTTTTTCTTCGGCAACCGTTCCATTTGAACTGCATGTAAATCTGCCGTTCTATTATCGGCAACTCGAAATCAGCTACAATTTGTAGTGCGTGTGTTTCATTTCAAGAAAACCCTGCTAGATTGCTTTTTCTCAGTGGTAAAAATATAATCAAATTGAAGCTGAAAGCATAAAGAATCGTTTGCATGCATTCAGCGAAGTGTTTTCGTAAGAAAATCCAGTGAAAATAGTGTTTCAATTTGGGTTGCCGAAAATAGTCTGTCATGCCGAAGCCGTAATTTCCCCTTTCTAATACTTATCACAATGTATTGAACACAGGTAAATTATATTCTCCCATCATCAACGGATCATCCGAGTATTTTCATTTCCGTCCGGAAAATAATAATTTTGGAAACTCCCCGTTGAAATCGATTTTCAACAGGTACCTGAAAAAAAAACATCGAAAACTAAGGGAATTTAGGACATTTTGAGTTGCCACTCTAATAGAGCCAATGTCGTCTCACTCTGCCCATAATCGCATATCAGCCTCATCTTTGCTTGATTTCCTACCCATAAGGGACTGTTATGCGATGGAACTGCTAATGATGTCATTGGCTCTATGAGTTTCCCGTTTTATCGCGCGCGCACACACACACTTAATCATTCGGAGCGAGCAAGATGGAGACAAATGTAAAACATACACCACTTATGCGAAATCTGGTATCCTTATTCCTGCTGTCTACTTGGTTGTTCTTTTAAGCCCTTTCACAGTGGTTAAGTGAGAGTTTTCCCTTCCTGGGACAGGGAATCGAGACCGGGAATCGTGTGCTTTACGCCTATGGGCTAATCAGGCGTGTACCTATATGTTATATCCGTAACCAAGGCCAACAAGTAAAACAAGCTGTTGTTAAGAGCTACTATTTATTACGTCTATCTTGGTTGGTGGTCGGATAAAGAATCAATCTCTAACTTATGACAGTCAGGCAAGGCCTACTACATCTAGGCCTACTACATCTCCCCCTTTTAGAAAATGTCATAGGAAGAGAGCCATCTTGGAATGCGGCAAAGTGACAGCTAAATCTATTGTCTAACTGTCAAATTTACGTCAACGCAACGCAAACGGATCTAATGTGGGTGGCCCTGTACAGAACGTCGAATAAAGTCTCCACTGCTTCAGATGACACGGGCTTTTGTGCGGACTGAAGTTCTCCATCTTGAGCAGCAGGCTCATGATTGATTGTCGAAAAAGGATTTTCGCCAGACGTACTTGCCACTTGACCATCAGCTTCGAGTGATACGGAACCAACAGGAATAGGGACATCGTGATTGAATGGCACTTCTGGATCCAACGGTACAGCTTCATCTTGAATTCCATCAAGCAGGATTTCCCATGGTAGTTGCTGCGTCGCTTGCTCTGGATCATCAGAAGTGTGACGAGGGCGCATTTGGTTTACATGCGACCTCACCAGCTTCGGTCTCCCGTTCATGTCCAGTGCAACGATATAGTTGATGGAACCTTTCCGTTCGATGACTCGACCAGGAATCCAGGACTTGGCGTTTCTGCAATGCTGTTCAACATAGACCAGGTCATCTTCTTCAAACTCGCGCTTGGCTGCTCCATGCCGCCAATTGAACTGTTCGTTTTGTTTGTGGTTCTTGACAGCTTCAGTTACAGGAACAGGTTTCTTCAGTAGGTCCAAAGTGGTGCGCACTGGTCTTCCGAGGAATGCTTCTGCTGGAGACGTCGACTGCGGTGTGTTTCGGTTTGGGATTGAACGATACACCGAAAGGAATGTCTGCAGGTGCTCCAGTGTGGGTGATCCTTCCCCCTTGGCTAGCTTCTTGAGGCCACGCTTGAGTGAATCAACGAATCGCTCCGCTTGGCCGTTGGACTGCGGGTGGTAGGGAGCAGTGCGGAGATGGGTGATACCATTTGCACGGCAATACTGTTGAAACTGCTCGCTGGTGAATTGCGTTCCGTTGTCTGAGACCAATGTGTCTGGGTTGCCGTAACGAGAAAACGTTTCACGCAGCATATTCAGGGTTGCAGTTGTGGTAATTGATTGAGTGTGAGAAATTTCGGGCCACTTAGACAAAGCATCTACCATGACGAAATAGTAGTATCCATGGATCGGACCAGCAAAATCGATATGGACACGTTGCCATGGCTTGTCCGGGAGAGGCCATGACTCCAAGGTTGCTTTTGTCGGGGACTTCGCTGCTTCAGCACATGCAGTGCACTGACGGACAAATTGCTCCACATCGTCGTCAACGTTAGGCCAGTAGATGTAACTTCGGGCCAGAGACTTCATTCGGTTCATTCCTGGGTGTCCACGATGCAGTTGACGAACGATCCGCTTTCGAAACTTTGATGGGACGACGATTCGATCGCCGAACATAACGCAGTTGTCGACAACTTGAAGTCCATCTCGTCTGGCGAAGAACTTCTTGACATCAGGATCAACAACTTGCTTCGCATTTGCTGGCCAACCTTCGTTAAGGAAATTCACCACTTGCTGAAGAACTGGATCCTTTCGCGTCTCAGCCACAATCATCTGGTGCGTGACTGGAAGGTTGCTGATGGTGTCGTCGAGAATTGCTTTTGCTTCAGATTCGACGCACACGGCGGCTATGACGTAATCCTCATCTGGTCTATGCTGCGATGACATTAGCCGGGATAGAAAATCTGCATAGCCAAAATTCGTCGATGAAACGTGTTGGATGTCGAAATCGTACAGCAGAGTGTCAAGGCCCAGCGCTGCAAACGGTTTGCTGTGTAAACAGGAATACCTTTCTTTGAGCCGAAAACCTTGAGTAGCGGTTGATGATCGGTTTGCAGGAGGAAGTGTCGTCCATACAGCATTCTGTGGAAACGGGTGACAGCGAATATCAGGGCCAATGCTTTTGAAGTTTGACTGCTACACCATTGAGCTCGACCGGGATGAACTTCCGCTTGCTTTCGATGTTGCGAACCGTGTAGATGCTTTTTGTCTTCACGTTCTCTTTGGATTTGGCCTGTTTGAACGTTTTCGACAGCGCATTCTTGTTGCTGTTGCAATAACCTTCCTTGTGTCCTTGTTGCTTGCATCTGGAACAGGTGTACGAAGCGAACGGACATTCACGAACATAGTGCTGGTCGCCACACTTCCAACATGGCGTTTTCGGCACTTTTTGGTTCTTTTTTGAGGCAGGATTATTCTGGTTGCGAGAAACAATGTTGACGTTGCGTGCTTCTTTGTTCTCCACCATCAATGTGTCCTGCTTGAGATTGGCCACGCGATGACATTCTTCCACGAGGTTCTCTCAACCTAGCTCATATGTCCGCATCCCGTGGCGATTGGAGTCCACAGACGAAACGGAGAGCTTTGAATTGGTCCGGTGTGAGCTTGGACAGCTGAAACGCTTCACAGTGTTTGTTCACCATGGCAGCATACGATGTGAAGTCATCCGCGTCACTTTTTGCATACTGGCACTGGTAACGGGAATGAAAAACCGACTTCTGTCGACCGAACAGTTTCGTGGCGGTTTCGTCCAGGGTGAAGTCCCGGGGATGCTTGGGAAGAATGGTGTTGACGTACTTCTCGTGCAGAGGCGTGCTTAACTTGCGAAGAAGCAATCTCACACGAGCGGCGTCATCCAGGGATTGGCCGTCCTTTGTAAAGACATCCTCGTACCTCGCATACCAGCCATCGAAGAAAACTCTTCCGTCCGGATCGTACTGGAAATCCTGGATCCCGCTTGCCAAGGACTCAATAATCTTTTCAATCTGCTGCTGCTGCCTCGTGATGAGATTCGTTAGCTGCAGGATGGCGTTCCGAAGATCCTCGTCAGACATTTTCTTGCTTGAGGTTTCTTGCTTCGAGGTTCGAGGTGCTTCCAAAATTTTCCTCGTCGCCAATTGTTATATCCGTAACCAAGGCCAACAAGTAAAACAAGCTGTTGTTAAGAGCTACTATTTATTACGTCTATCTTGGTTGGTGGTCGGATAAAGAATCAATCTCTAACTTATGACAGTCAGGCAAGGCCTACTACATCTAGGCCTACTACACTATATAACACATACCCAAATTCTAGGTCGGCCCCAACTACCCACACGAGCCGCCGAAGGTGAAATGCGAAACCCAGGTGTACCACCCGAACATCGATCTGGAGGGCAATGTGTGTCTCAACATCCTGCGCGAGGACTGGAAGCCCGTGCTGACCATCAACTCGATCGTGTACGGATTGCAGTACTTGTTCTTGGTGAGTGTTCGAACTTCACTAGGTTAGACGAGCCCAAGTTTTTCTAACCCCATGTTCAACCCCTTTGTAGGAACCCAATCCGGAGGACCCGCTCAACCGAGAGGCAGCCGAAGTCCTGCAGACGAACCGACGCCTGTTCGAGCACAACGTGTTCAAGGCGATGCGCGGCAGCTACATTGGCGAGACCTATTTCGAGCGCTGTCTCAAGTGATATATAAATTCAACACTCACCCTCAAATGTTGCGTTTATTTAATTATTCTTACGATTGGTGGACGCTATTACATAGACTTTAAGTATAACTAAATGGCAAACAAAAAAACACAATAGTGGAAGGCGGCGACGAAATAGTGGGCACACGAGAGCACGAGCGCACCTAAGTCGAAGGACGATCTAAATTTGAGACAGGTAGAGTAGGGTATTCGAAGAATGCTTTAGAAGATTGAGGAATGCGAACCGAGAGCGAAAGAGCAATGCGTAAAAATAATGAAATAAACCGTTGAATGAAAAACCCGAACATTCATTAGAATGACAACCAATTGAAAATTAATATAAAAATTACAGCAAATGAGAAAATGTATTTGTTAAAACAACCAGATAAATAAAAACAACAGCAACAAGAACTATGAGACAAAACTGCAAACCATCTCCTGTACCATTATCTAATAATACTAGATCGAGTTGCTATCCAGCAGGGGGCTGTTCAGTTCCATCATAAAAAGAGATAAACGCGAAGCCAGATAATGCAAACACACAAACGTGAAGAACGAAGAGAAAAATTAACACAAAATTCGACTGTACGAAAGAAAAAAAAAATCTATGATCTTAGTTTAATTATCACAATGAACAGGAAGAAAAGTAAATAAACGGTATTTATATAGAAAGGTCACACAAAAGCAATCTTGATTTCTTTCTTTCTACCTACCAACCGACACTTGCAATGCTCTAGTTCTAGCAATTCTTGAAGAAGTTAAATTTCCTATATAAAAACAGAGAAAGAAAAAAAATAATCAATGATCAACAGCAGCCCGTAACCGACAAACAGTTCATTAATTGTACTGAAATTAGCTGCAGAGAAAGTAAGCTACAATTAAATATGAAAATTTTACTCGAAACAACGGTGTTCGTGCGTTTTTAACGAAAGTAATCCTTGCTTCTTTTAGGCCGGTTTCCTGGAAAATTACATGCTGCTGCTTCTTCTTCCTGGCTTTGAGGCCCTTAGGCGAGTATAAGTCCGCTCGAAGCACTTCCACAGTTATTAACCTGGTGACGGTATTCAAAAATTGCAATCTTGCCCTGTGGGTCTTTTTAGACCCAAGATTGTTACATCTCGACAGCAAGCCAACCTGCGGATGGATTCACGAAACCAATGACCCTTTTGAAGCAAGCTAAGTTACGCCAATTCTTAGGCATCGTGGATTGAGGAGGAGTGAAAACCAAGCAACCAGCGATTTTGTTACGTTAGCAAGTATTTAGAGAATACACGCCCTAATAAAAAATAACCATAAACGAACGATAACCCAAATCATTGAACTATTCCACAAATGGTTTGGATGATACCCAGAACACGTCGTTAAGCAAATTAACCATACAATTTTTATTAGGGCGTTCATTACACTTTATTCCTTCAAACCTGAAGCACCGTTTTTTCCTTGTAACTCCGCAAGACTACGCCTATGAGATTGAGCAAGCCGGCGCCGGTGGTGTAGTGGTAAGCGTGACTGCTTTCTCCCCCCAATGGGTCTGGGTTCAATCCCAGCCGAGGTCAGTGGGATTTTTCTGAGGCATAAAAATCTCTGGTCACGTCTTCCTTCGGAAGGAGTAAAGCCGTTGGTCCCGGCCCATGTGTGTTTGAATGGGTGCGATATCCTACGCAGGTGTGGAAGCTGCCTTCCTGCACATTCGTTTGCCGTCAATGGATGGCAATCGATGTCCGTCGGTGATTGGCACTAGATTGCGGAACAGAGACCAACGTTAAATAAAGGAAAGAGATTGAGCAAATATTTTTGAATACCACATCCGAACATACCAACTCGACAAGATGAGAAACTCCAAATTTATTTCAGTTTGAAGTATGACATAGATTTCTATACCACCGTTAGTATTAGCATAGAGGTAACTCTAAGACTAGAAGGTCCCGAAATAACGTGCTCAACTTTTTGGCTCAGCTCTGGTACTATCTTCGGTCCCAAGCTAATCGATTCACCCCTCGAAACATAGGAAAAACGAATAACCCCTCATTTCATCTGTCAAACTTTCATAGCGAATCAAAACATACATTGCGTAGTACTAGAATTTCGACTAGAATGGGGTACGTTAATCGTTTGCTTGGGACCAATAGGCTAGTCAAGTAGTGAGCCAATTTAAAATCGTTATAGTACGTTCAGACTACAGAGTTATAACATGTTATAGCGCTATCTTGATGGTGGTTTCTGTGTTGCAATTATTTGACAACCGTTATAACATGTTATAACTCTCCAGTCTGGACAGCGTTTTAGTTTCATATTGATTGTTGGTATTAGCACAAACGAAGTGACAGACGGAGCGGCTCAAAATTTGATTTGACGCACTTACGTTTGAAATTTTCGAGTGTACCTCACTGCAACACTATCTACTCATATGTACTAGCTTAAAGTATATAGTTGATGCTATTGGCCTTGACGGCGAATCTATAGCTCTTTACTCCTATGGTAAAATCCGTAAGCAAACGTCAGACTGTGCGTGAAATTTACTTTCAAAAACGAAGAGGTTCGCAAGTGGTGCTGGTGCTGAAGAGTATGAACTGCTGTTGGATGATCAGATTGATTTCGTCCAGGCACTCCGAGTGGATGGAACTAAAGAAAAGGACCGGAAAGCACCGGTATCTGAGGCGGAAAGGAAGAAGATGGACATTGAGGAAACGAAGAAATCACTTCCAGTTTTTCCATTCAAGGAGGATCTCATAGCCGCTATAAAAGAACACCAGATTCTTATTATCGAAGGAGAAACGGGTTCGGGAAAAACGACACAGATTCCACAGTATCTCTATGAAGCTGGGTTTACAAACGACGGCAAGAAGATTGGATGTACTCAGCCTCGTCGCGTGGCAGCGATGTCCGTGGTGGCACGTGTTGCACAGGAAATGGGCGTCAAGTTGGGCAACGAAGTTGGTTATAGTATTCGTTTCGAGGATTGCACATCCGAGCGGACTGTCATTAAATACATGACAGATGGTACGTTGCAAAGGGAGTTTCTTTCGGAACCGGACCTAGCTTCGTATAGTGTGATGATTATCGATGAAGCTCACGAGCGTACGTTGCACACGGACATTCTGTTTGGATTGGTGAAGGACATTGCGCGGTTTCGGTTGGATTTGAAACTACTGATTTCCAGTGCCACGTTGGATGCGGAAAAGTTTTCGGATTTCTTCGATGATGCGAACATATTCCGTATTCCTGGTCGTCGTTTTCCGGTACGTAGTTAGATTTGACTTGCTTTGTGTTTTGCTGTAAAATCTAACTTTTTCTCTTCTAGGTTGATGTCTTCTACACCAAAGCACCGGAAGCAGATTATATCGATGCATGTGTGGTGTCGGTTCTACAGATTCATGCCACTCAGCCTCTTGGAGACATTCTTGTATTTTTAACTGGTAAGTGGGTCTATTTCTATGCGATGTTAAAAAATTACATTTTTTTTTCGTTCCAGAACAAGAGGAAATCGAAGCCTGCCAGGAGATGCTCCAGGATCGGTTGGGTTCCAAACTCAAGGAACTACTCATCCTTCCCATTTATGCCAATCTGCCGTCGGACATGCAGGCGAAAATTTTCGATCCAACTCCACCTGCCAATCAACGTGCAGGTCGAGCAGGGCGCGTTGCCCCTGGCAAGTGCTTTCGTCTGTACACAGCCTGGGCATACAAACACGAGCTGGAAGACAACACCGTCCCGGAAATTCAGCGCATAAACCTGGGCAATGCCGTGCTAATGCTCAAAGCTCTTGGAATCAACGATTTGCTTCATTTCGATTTCCTCGATCCTCCACCACATGAAACGTTGGTTTTGGCATTGGAGCAACTTTACGCCCTAGGGGCATTGAATCACCACGGTGAACTGACCAAACTTGGACAACGGATGGTGGAATTTCCGGTCGATCCCATGATGGCAAAAATGCTGCTTGCTAGTGAAAAGTACAAATGTTCCGAGGAGGTGGTGGCCATCGCTGCAATGCTATCGGTGAATGGAGCCATTTTCTACCGACCGAAAGATAAAATCATCCACGCAGATACGGCCCGGAAGAACTTCAACCACATGCACGGAGACCACTTGAGTTTGCTGCAGGTCTACAACCAATGGGCCGAATCGGACTACAGCACTCAGTGGTGTTACGAAAATTTCATTCAGTTCCGTTCGATGAAACGAGCTCGCGATGTCCGGGAGCAGCTGGTTGGGTTAATGCAGCGAGTCGAAATCGAAATGGTTTCCAGTCTGCCGGAAACGACCAACATCCGGAAGGCTATTACAGCCGGGTACTTTTATCACGTCGCTCGGCTCTCCAAGGGGGGTCACTACAAAACGGCCAAGCACAATCAGACGGTGATGATCCATCCGAATTCGGCACTGTTCGAAGAACTGCCTCGTTGGGTGCTGTACCACGAGCTGGTGTTTACGACGAAGGAGTACATGCGGTCGGTGATTGAAATCGAAAGCAAGTGGCTGCTGGAGGCGGCACCGCATTACTACAAACCGAAGGAGCTCGAGGATTCCACCAATAAAAAGATGCCGAAAACGATCGGTCGGGCCACGCTGACCGAGGCGTAGGTTGTGATGAGACGGTTTGGGGTAATTCAAGAGCATTTTTCGCACTATGTATTCAACGGGAATTGTTGTTATTTGCGATGACATTATCCTACCTAGGGTGTCGGGTGTAAATTAGTGATCTTTAGGGACAAATAGGTGAAATATAAGGTTGCTGCAACCATGCTATATTGTATGTCAGTAGAGAGCTTCATAAGGCTAGCCCGTCTAATCCCAGTCGCGCTCCTTTCCGTTTCTTCAGGTCCGGTTAGGTGGATTAGGTATTCTCTGGCACGCCGAAGCCAACTGCAGGGCTGTTACAAGTGTCGCAAATTTTGTGCGGTTTTATAGCTTTTGAAGTGCGGATTTTGCGGAAAGCTTATCGACATTGAACACATTTTTTTAAATGATATTTTAGCTTGCCCAACCAACTATTAATAACTTTACTGCTTTACTTCTTTATTAAATAATAGAAGGTCTTTCTAAACGTAGATTTTCCTGGAGTCTTCAAATAATTAGAATCGAAACTTAGTTGAATTAACCCTAAGTGGAACTAATCCGCGCCAAAGCAAATCTGAGATGGCAGTCCACGAATACCTCAGATTTGCGAATTTAGCGTAGTCGTAACAACGCCGTCCTTGACGGGAACTAACAAAGTTTATACTATTTCAAACAATCGCTGATAGGAAGTTTTTTCGCCAAGTGAATGATGAAATACTCACAATGATTTCACTGTCTAAGATTTATTGCTGTCTCTAATAGCATATGTAGCAAAGCTATACATTATTTTTCTCTCGTCTCAATACCTACTTACTACCAAAAGTGGATGTGTTAATAACACAATCAATGATTAACAATTAAAAAAAAACTCTCACTGAATTCAACCATACACAGCAGAACATACAAAATCAAATCTCTCTTTAAAATATGCCCCGACCCGTCCGCTCTAATGCTGCGACCACTGGATCGACTTGATGTCGATACCTTCCTGGACCATCTCCCACAGCGGGGACATCTCTCGGAGTCGAGTCACGTGCTTGATGCACTTTTCAGCTATGTAGTCGATTTCCTCGATGGTGGTAAACCGTCCGATGCCAAAGCGAATCGAGCTGAGCCAGATCTTCGTCGGCACCAATCGCACGCAGCACATACGACGGTTCCAGCGAAGCCGAAGTGCAAGCCGACCCACGTCTTTCAGCGCCATCAACAGCGATTCACCCTCAACGTATGCAAACGACAGATTGATACATCCGGGATAAGAATGAACTGGATCGCCATTGCGGATGACTTTCGGTAGCGATGCGAAGATTTGGTCCATCAGGCGTTTCGAGAGGAACTCCATCCATTAGTGATCGTACTCCATTTCACGGCTAGCGATTTCACAGGCTTCCCCCAATCCAACGACCAGTGGAGTCGGAACGGTTCCACTTCGAATGCCACGCTCCTGGCCACCTCCGCTCTGAATGGCTTCCACACGAACTCGAGGACGAATGCGAGTTGAATGCGAGAGGCTCCCAAACATACAAACTTTGCTCTTTCATTATCACGACGTTCTTATGCATAATCTAGTGTGACGTAACGTTGGATCATGCGTAAGAACACCGTGAGAACGAAGGAGTCGACTACATTCTTTCTGCCGCACCTATAGTACCGCACACGGTTCCCGCGCTGACTGTTCCTTACTTTCTCACTCTAATCAAAATTTCCTTCGATGAGTGAGAAAACAGCACCCCGTCAACGCGAGTGAGAACGCGAGTTGCCAGATCATTGCACACAAAACCAACTTGAATTAATTCAAATCAAAAATACTAGCGAACCTGGCGGTGAGCGGCGGAAAGTGGTCTAAAATTCTATTACAGAGAACCACCTTATTTTAATTAATTTCTTCGGAGAAAGTCGTCTGTAACTTCGTTTGTGGTCCGTACGGTCACAAGGTTTTCCACAAAAGAGGCCTCATCAAGCGGTCGAGAGCCTATTTATCTCCTCCCTCGCTCGCAATGGGAGGACTGAACTTCCTTCCACACACGTTTGCCAACCGTTGAGAAGGGGTGGTAGTCGTCTACTCGAGCAGTTTTGGTAGCGGACGACGCTCAAATAGGCGAGTTTATTTTAAATATTCTAACAATTTCTAGATCTAGCTCCTATCTTACAAACAATTACAATAACAAGTATATTTTATTTTAATGGGACATGCTCTAATGTTACATACTAGAGACTTTCTTGTACTGTACATTATCTTTAGCAAAGTTGTTACACTCTAAATCGTAACGTGAAATATCACGTAGCTGATTTGTATTTAGAAAATCTCAAATGTTACGTGACGTTTGTAATTTTTACCTGCATTACACGTCATGTCCTCTAAACATTTTGGTGAAATTTACCGTATATTCACGTAAACTGATTTAATGTATTTGGGTTTGTGTGTGTGGAAATTCGATATTTCCGTGAAACGAGATTTACGTGATTTTCAGGTACGCAAAAAAAAATCAATATGGCGTCACCGAGCGTGGTGGAAGACACAAACGTTTGTGGTGGAAGAACTCGTCAAAGATTCAAAATTCCTCAGCGCTTGCTGCAAATGTTGGACGGTAATTAGATTCTTTTACATCAATTTATTTATTATTATATGTAGCCTTTTTCAAGTTGTATAATTTCAGACGGTGACATAAGCATTTTGAGTGTGCAAACAGGTGTTAATATTTTGTCAGAACTAAAAAAGGTCATATACGTTTCTACCTAATAATAATCAATTAGTCAATATTTTACAATTTTATGCGTAGATATAAGTATTAATTTAAACACGTGAAATTTATATCTTCCCGATAAAATTGCATAATATTAACTGCTTCTTTATATACTTCCCATTATTACATGAAACTACACGTACAAATTACATGAAAAGCATTTTAAACAAAACGGAATGTCACGTAAAAGTTACCAGGTGTCCAGTAGTTTTCACCCCGATTTCACGTAAGCAGTACGTGGAAATCAGGTCTTATTTACCTGACTAATCAATGCAATTCCGGTAAAAGTTACGTGAAAAATAGGGTGGATGGAAACCACCTATGTTTTCACGTCAATCGGACGTGAAGATTTTTCAGAGTGTAGGCTTACCAAATTATTAATATTAGTGATGAAATATTATAATATTTCGTAAAACAGCGGAAAACAAATAAAGTTCTTAGGTTGTTTAAAAAGCGAGAATTCTCATATTTTGACAATAGCTCAATACTGAGTGTACTTTGTATGTCTGTACAAGGTATTATCAATTTTGTATAATTGTTCTTCAAGCACCTGTTAACTTAAGCTAACCCTTGAAGAGTCTGTAAGATTGTAGGAAGAATTATTTACTGATCATAATAGTGAAATTTTACTCGATTTGACTGTACCACTTTCGCCTATTACTGTATTACTTTCAATCGCAACTTCTGCTCAAGGTTTGTCCAGTGTCCACACAAATTTGAAGAATTTATTCACCCCCGCATGGAACGTATTGCCATCCCCACACATTCGCGACCCGATCACGTGCTTCGATAAGCATGCTCGTGTAATTACTCAAGCAGCACATGACTCCTTGCGCGCCAGTCAGTGGAACCGATTCACACACAAAAAAGGGTCTGGGGTAGCCGTTGCTAGGGAAAACCTGCCACCTCGGTATCCTAGCATGGTAGGTGCAGTTTGTTTCACTCTATAATATCGGAAGACGGCGTCCTTTTCGATTTTGTAAAGACCTGTGAAGAATTTTTTTTTTTCCGGACCAGCTGCAACAGTAATGACTTCGACGGAGGGATGCGAGATTATCAAGCTGCAGCCGGCGGCGATCATCGGATTCGATGGTATGTTTTGGGCAAGGTAAAATTGCAAAGTACATAATTGCTCCTTTCCTGTAATCAGGTCACGTCATCGCCGGACTGCGAGTTCACCCGGATCAGAGACATCTGGTGTTTCCGCTTGGGAATGAAATTTCCGTCTACGAGCTCGAAACCAACAGACAGACGTTCCTGCGTGGCCACACGAATACGATTTCGACGGTAGACATTTCCGCCTCAGGCAAGATGGTCGCTTCCGGCCAGACCAACCACATGGGATTCCGCGCGTACGTGATCATCTGGGACTGGGAAAGCCGGAAGGAGATCTCCCGGTACGAATTGCACCGGGTCAAGGTGCAGTCGTTGTGCTTCTCGTCCAATGAGCACTATCTGGTCAGCTTGGGTGGAAAGGACTGCGGATCGATAATCGTGTGGGATATCGAACAGAAGTGAGTTTGATTGAGAGTATTGTTGCCACAGATGTATTGATTTCCTATTCCAGCATGGCCATTTGTGGAACTATAGCAACTAAGGAAACCACTGGCGATGCGTTGAAGGTTTGTGGACTGAACCAACGGTGGACGACATTCGTTTCCGGGGGTGATCGTAAGCTTTGATCTAAATGAGGCCATACCAAATTTCATTCACATTTGAACCTGCATTTCAGAAAATCTCCGAGTGTGGCACATCGATCGGGATCGCAAGCGCCTCAACGTTCAGGACGTAGCCGTCGGGAAGCTGAGACGGGAATTTACGGGAATGCGCATTACGGAAAATGACGAGATCCTGTACGTTGGCACCATGAGTGGAGATATTGTCAAGATTCGACTGAATGTTAGTTCGGATCCGAATGCTCCGATGCAGGACAAGATTCCGGTTCTGTTGGGTTGCTTCGGGAAACACAATCCCCGGAAACCGGTTGGGAAGGACTGCGAAAAGTACCACTACGGGGTACGGGATTTGTTGATCCTGCCCAACGGAAGCTTGATCATCGGAGCCGGGGATGGAACGATCGAAATGGTTCACGAGAGGAACGTCAGCTTTAAGAACTACAACAGCCCAACGTGGCCGCAGTTGAAATCGGTAGGTGTTTTAGGCTAGGATGGCAATAGGAATGTGTGCCTAATTTGTCCTATATTCGCAGCTTCAATCGGCTAAAGTGGGAGGCGTGATCACGTCGCTTCAAATCGTCAACCAATACACGTTGCTGATCGGTACCGATGGATGCGAGATCTACTCGCTTGAGCTGCAGAACTTTAGCTCCAGTCTGCGATTGCTCAAGACCTGCCACACCAACGCAGTCTACGATATCGCGTTCCCTTAGTAAGCCCAAGAACACGATTTTCCTTCCAACGAATCTCAACAAATGATCATACGTTTTATGCCTTTTTCAGTAACTTTTCTCTGGTCTTTGCCACCTCAAGTCACGAATCGATTCGGATTTGGTCGACCTCCCGGATGCAGGAATTGCTTCGTATCGTGGTGCCGAACTTTGCTTCGTCCTCGATTGTGTTCAGCCGTGACGGGAAGAGTATCATCTCGGCGTGGAACGACGGGGTGATTCGGGCGTTCACTCCACTGACCGGCAAGCTGATCTATGCCATTCCGAATGCCCACAACAAGGGTTGCTCGTCAGTGGCCGTGACTAGCAATGGGAAAATGCTCGTCAGCGGAGGTATCGAGGGCCAGGTGCGGGTTTGGAAAATTGAATCGTACATGCAGAGCATGATCGGGGTGCTGAAGGAGCACTACGGACCAATCGAGTCCGTGCACATCAACAGCTTCGATACGGAGGTGGTTTCGGCTTCGCGCGATGGAAGCTGTGTGATTTGGGATCTGATTAGGTTAACGCGAAAGCACGTGATCTTTGCCCACACACAGTTCATTGCAGCGCAGTACTACCCAACGGGAGTGCAGATATTGACGGCCGGGTCGGATAAACTGATCGGATACTGGGAAGCATTCGATGGCAGTCTGGTGCGGGAGGTGGAAGGCTCCAAGTCCGGACCGATCAATGCCATCGATATGAACATGACAGGGGAGTACTTTGTGTCGGCCGGTACGGATCAGGTGGTCCGACTGTGGGACTACCAACTGGGAGTGGAAGTGGCTGTTGGAATAGGGCATGCCAGTGCCATCACTTCGGCGAGATACAGCCCGAATGGAAAATTTCTGGTGACCGGATCCAGCGACGGTGGAATTTTTGTGTGGACCGTTCCGGAGGTAAGACAACTTTGATATCAACCTCAGCCTTCACCATGCATTTACATTTCCACAGAAATACCACATCAAAATGCCATTCGCGGAACAAGCTGCCCACAGCAGTAACAACAACCGCAAGACGAACACAGACAGCGGCAGCAAAAGATCGGTGCCATGTCGCGCTCCGAAGGCTGCCAACGAAAATGTCCGCCAGCTGGAATCGGCTCAGTCAAACCGCTCGAGCCAGATCGCCAAGTGCCCGGCGGTGGATCTCAACTCTCAGCCAACGATCGATCCATGTGTCGATACGGCATCCCTAGCGGACGACAAAGAACTGCAGGATCAGCTGGAGACTAGGTCCGTTCACTCTCAAAAATCGCAAATATTCGATTAGGGCCATCGAAGAGGAGAATGCATTTATATTTCTATAATTCGTTTACATAGAGAGCGATTTTTTTTTTTGACACGTCAATATTGTAACCTAATCGTAGTCCATTTTCAACAGAGTGCCAATAAAGCTACTGATTTGAGTTCGTGCGGATTTCAGCTGTGGGAAATCGTCCTCCTTGGGTTCGTACATGTTGGCACAGTGAGCAGTTCCGTCGATGAAAATGGTTGGCATATTGATGTCGCTGCTGTCCGTCAAGCCCAACCGATGCCACGGATCGATCGAACCATGCACGTATAGGACATTGGTTGTCGACGGATTCAGCGCCCCGTAGTTGTTGTTGGTTCGATAGATGGCACGATTCAGCGCATGCTGGTCAAACCTTCTGCCGTATACATCAACGCATTGGCGTACGAAAAAGTCAACCGGGAAGCGATCGCCAAACACCGAGCTGGGATTGTCCGACGTTTGATAGAAGCCAAATTCGTTACAGGTTTGGTAGATCCACTGGCGAGCTGAAAGACGAATCAATTTAAAAAAATACATTCCCCCACTTACGTTCCTATCCAAACTAACCTCCCTTGGCAACATCCGAGTTCCAGGAAGTGTTCTGCATCTGCATAATTGTCTTGTCGTACACAAAATCCAAACATTCTTGCTTCTCCTGCTTCATAACCATCGCGTTAACTGCAGCCAATCTCGAAACTGGTGCCCCAATGCTATTGTTCGTCATAACATCGCAAACTTCATCAATCGTGAGCCTTGCATGCGGGCTGTTGTCCTTATTGTACTGAACCACCCCGGCAAAGTTGGAAGCAATTGCCTCGAACAAATTCGATATATCCAAACCATTCGAAATGGACTTCTCCACCGGATCGCAGAGCTTAAACTTCTCATTTAAATTGCGCTGGCCAATCATGTGCTTGAGTAGCGTTTCCACCTGGGACATTGCACTCTGCACATCCTCGACACACTCGGGCGAGTAGCGCTTCAGTGAATCGACCACCACTTCATAGTACTCCTTGAAATCGATTTTAGCCAACAGTGGACCACTGGTACTGATGGAACCATGCACCAAATATGGGTACTTTACACGTACCCAAGCGGCCAACGAGCCGGGATACGACCCGCCAAAAGCAATCCAACGATTACTCCGGTTCAGTTGGTACTTTTCGTTCATCGCTGCAATGAAGTAAGCCAAATCGGCAAGCGCTTGCTCCGAGCTTAAGTAAGCCAAATTTTTAGTGGACAAGTCCTCCGTAGGACGGCTTTTGCCGTAGAAGCGATGCTCCAGTTGGAAGCAAAGTGCACCATACTGCTGCGCATAATGAATCCAAGCGCCTTCCGTCATCCAGCGTTCCGTGGCTTCACCTTCTCCTCCGATCATCAGAAACACCGGGCCGGTACCGTTGCTGTTTTTGAAGAATCCATCGTTCACGTAGTACCGTTGCTTCCAGGTGGTCGGATTGGTGGGATCGTTATGATCCAGCAGCTGATCGAACCAGAGGCTTTGAACGTCGGAGTTGACTCCTTTGAAAACCGGGTGTTTCGTCGGACCATCTAGAGTAAACTTTTGACCACGCCAAAAATTGCGACCGGCACCGTAAGCGGGACACCCAATTAGGCAAAAAGTTAACAGAGCTAGCTTTATCAGCATTTTCTTGAATTTCACGCAACCACTGTCCAGGGCAAACTGATTAACAGACACTCTTTCCACTTGCAAATGAGGTCCACGATCGATGTGTAAAAAAGCGATCGAACAAAACACTGCTGATAGTGGCAAATTTATTGACGATGATGACCCTTCGATAGCAACACTATGTTGTTGTTAAATATTTTGAATTGAATCGATTCAATTTAAATCGCCGATTGTCATTGTTGTTTCTTACAACACCCAAGGTGAGCCGAGTCCGAACCGAACGATTGTTATGTACTTTTCATTCATTGGTAGGTGAATATATAAAACGGTACAATACGAACACATCTACTCACACTTCGCCACAGAAAGCTTTCCCATTCATATACAAGGTGTTTCCCAAAGTAAATAGGACTTTAAAAAAAAGAGCAAAGACTCTTATTCCTTCGACGAATCGACTTTACTTTATACAAATTAGTCCTCTTCGGGCTGAATACAACGATTTGCACGATCTAAAAGCATATCAAACGAGTGTTTTATGGCCTCGATAGGAATGTCCTTCAGGATGGTGGTACAAGCCTTTTGGATGTATTTAATGTCCTTATAATGCTTTCTAATAGTACGTTCAGACTACAGAGTTATAACATGTTATAGCGCTATCTTGATGGTGGTTTCTGTGTTGCAATTATTTGACAACCGTTATAACATGTTATAACTCTCCAGTCTGAACAAGGCATAAAGAGCCTAAAACGCTGGCCAGACTGAGCAGTTATAACATGTTATAACGGTTGTCAAATAAATGCAACACAGAAACCACCATCAAGATAGCGCTATAACATGTTATAACTCTGTAGCAACGATGCCAGATATACAGACTTTTGTGCACGATAAAGGTGGACACTATCTTTTTTGAACCCTTGTAACTTTAATTATAATAACGATTTTTCTAATCTCATTAGATATAAAAATAGTTACATACATTAACTAGTTATTGCATTAACTGTAGCTTCACAAAATACTTCATTTGATATTTTTTGGATAAAATTAAAAAGCGGTGACCACTTTTTTCGTGTACAGAAGTCTGTATATATGGCATCGTTGCTCTGTAGTCTGAACGTACTATAATGCTTTCCTTTCATCGGAAAATCTAGACTAACATTTGAAAAGGGCGGAATTCCAAATTCACCATATCGAGAAAATAGTCGCTTCCGAATTTTGATTATCTAAAAATTAATCCTATTTCATGACTTTCCATTTTCTGGGTGATTTTAATAGCTTGACATATAGTTAATACACAGACAAACAGACATAAAACATTGAATATTTCTCAATGTAAAACATCGTCCCTAAAACATTACCGCCATCTGTTGAGTATACTGTGGTGGGTAGTACGCTGAACAGATGGCGGTAGTGTGTAAACGTCAAACGCAAGGGATTTGACTATGCGCGCCGCAGGTGGCGGTACTACCAACTACGATACTTTTGAATTGACCGTTAAATCCTTGTTCGATGAACAACTTGCGAGTGTTATGTCTGTTTGTCTGTGGTTAATAGTGCAGTTTTTCATCATGCATCACTAAAAACTCCAAAAAAGGTTTTTTGTCTTGAAATTGAGAAGAAAACATCATACGACCCTCGATACGACCTGATATTTTTTTACATATTGTTACCCCCGGATTTTCCACCCTTTGAACTGCCAACACTGGCGATACGCCGTGACAATCCGAGGTCCTGGGCGTGTTTTTGGAAAAGTGTCTCAGAAAGCGACAGACTCTCTAAAACCAGAGAAGAAGTTAAGTAGCTGTTGGCAGCGACAACTGCAGTGGCCCCCGTGTAAACTCAAACATAAATTACATGAAGGCAGTGAAAACTGATAAATTAAACTATTCCCATTTTGATTAGAATTTAATCAATTTGACCTTAAACTCAGTTCGAATGGTTAAAAAATAATACTCTCTTTCAAGGAATCAAAAATATCTCCAAATGACAAAATGACAAGCGATACCGGACCGAATAATAACGCTATGTCAGAAGTGCAAAGCAATAATGATATAATCTTCTTCCTTCTTTTTCATGACAACCCGCATAAGCGCGAACCATAAATTGACCTTACCTAAAATGGTTATAAATTGTTTATAATCCCTGCTAAACTTCAACTGAAATGGTTATGGAACTTTACATGAACGTTTAATGATAAAGTTTTAACCCTAAGTATTATAGTTTTTTGGAAGTGGACCTTACAAATAATGGGTTGTTAAGAACCATTACCATTCAAAATTCTTGTTTTCTCCATACATTTTCGGAAAGAAAACTATACTAAAACCTTTTAACTTATGGTTTGAGAACATTAATGGTAATGGTTATGGTAACCAGTTAGGTCCATGAATGGTTTTGTAACATCGATCAACTTTATGTGGAATATATCGCGAATTGGTTGCCTGTAAATTACTGATTACCAATTCAAGATATATTTCACGTAAAGTTGAGCGATAATACAAAACCATTAATGGACCTTACTGACTACCATAACCATAACCATTAATGTTCTCAAACCATAAGTAAAAACGTTCTAATATAGTTCTCTTTCCGAAAATGTATGGAGAAAACAAGAATTTGAAATGGTAATGGTTCTTAACAACCCATTATTTGTAAGGTCCGCTTCCAAAAAACCATAATACATAAGGTTAAAACTTTATCACACAAACGTTCATGTAAAGTTCCATAACCATTTCAGTTGAAGTTTAGCAGGGATTATAAACAATTTATAACCATTATCGGTAAGGTCATGTGATGGTTCGCGTTTATGCGGGAAGCAGCGCGTGCGACACAACTCATTCGGGGCATTAGAAGGAAACGAGCAAATTGTTGGAAAGCTGCTTCACGAAGTAAAGCCGAATTTTTGTGTTATGTCTTTTCTCGATTCATATCAAGATATGTCCTCATCCGTGTAAATATATTGCAACAAAGCAGGCAAGCAATATATCATTATCATTCTACCTCGCATTCTACCACTCGGATCGAGCTATGTTACAGAGCGAGTTTGTCATGGTATTTTTTTTTTATCTAGTTCGTTTATTTGGAAGGCTCAATCGCGTTAGCTTTACGGAGCCGATAATTCATTGTTCACTGTGTGTAACAAAATTCACTTAATTCTACGTCTAGTAGGAGTTGGGCCGATTACTCGCGGCTTACTCGAGGTTAGAAGGGTACATTTTCGAAGGATAGGATCAGGGGAGGAGCTTGGGGTAGGGTTTCGTTGTCTCATCAGAGCGTTGTCGCCAGTATGAACGGTAGTGCTGTTCTAGCTTCGTCCGGAGTTCGACCGGCTATGGTGGGTGACCAGTGGGCGACGATGAGACTCATCGAGACGGAGGGACAAGACAAACAAAAACTAATAAAGAGAGACAAAAGACAAAAGGAATTAAATTCTTATACTAGACATTTGAAGAAAAACATAAACGGACTGCATATAGCAGAGATCACGGGTTGCCAACACGTCTCTGATAGGAACATAGGGTTGTCTTCCTTGGGGGCCTCGAGGGTATTCAAAAGTCGCTCTCTGGCGGCGTCATTATCCGTACATTGCCAAACTGCGTGTTCGATGTCATCGTAACCATTTCCACACCGACAGATGTTGCTGTCCACGAGGTTTATTCTATTGAGATGAGCATCTAGCGAGTAGTGGTTGGACATAAGTCTACTCATCACGCGAATGAAGTCACGACTTAAGCCCAAGCCTTTAAACCACGCTCTCGAAGAAACATTAGGAATAATTGAATGTAATCACCGTCCAAGATTTCCAGTGTCCCAATCGGTTTGCCAACTCGAAAGGGTACTCTGACGCACTAAATGGTAAAATTCATCGTGTGAAATTTGCCTGTCATACAATTCGCCTTCCTGCGCGCCCACCTTTGCGAGAGAGTCCGCCTTCTCATTGCCTGGAATTGAGCAATGTGAAGGGACCCATACAAAGGTAATCATATATGATCTTTCGACCAGCACACACATCTGCTCCCTTACCTTTGAAAGGAAATAAGATGAGTGCCTACCTTGTTTCATCGACCGAATAGCCTCAATCGAACTGAGACTATCCGTGAAGATGAAGTAATGGTCTGCGGGCATGTTGGAAATCATCCCCAATGCGAAGTTGATTGCTGCCAGCTCAGCAACAAAAACGGAACAAGGTTCCTGAAGTTTGCGGAAGGCGCTAGAGTTTTCATTGAAGACACCGCCCGCATAATTAAATACCATTTCGATAACCGGTACAACTTTATCCCAACGGTTCGAATTGAGGTTACCATATTGATTATGGTTTCTGTATACTTGATTCATTACAGTAATATTGTAATTCAACTGTACAAGATATAGTTACCATATACAAAACCTTTATTAAATTGTTGCGTATACTCCTTAACCATAAGAAACTTTAACATTCCTGTTAAGTGTCCTTTTTTACCCATTAATGGGTACTGACCTGTTTCAGTGTAGTCCAATTTGGGTAAAGTAAACCTACATTTGAGTTATTTGTTCTTAGTGTGCAGCACTGCTTCCGCAACTTTGATTCAGAATCAGAAAAGTTAGCCATTTTTGCGCAGTATTCAATTTGAAAAAAAAACCTGTCGCCGAAGAAGAAAGCTGCTCGCGAGCATTATAAATCACGCAGCATTAAGCGTAGGTATTTTAAACTATTAACAATACATTTTTAATAATGAAATGTACATATTTTCCCACAGAACCAAGAAATGCACCCACGCTGGTCAATCGAAAATTAAACCTGCTGGAGGAGCGTGCAAATTCTCAAAATGGAGGAGAAATTAACGACGAAGTAAGTTTAAATAATTATAAGATAATTATGTCAAGTGTAACACCTTAATATGCTCGTTCTAGCTGCAGAAACTGCTAGCTGCGCATAATAAGCAAATCAGCAGTACCGGATACGTCTTCGTTGCAGTGAAGCAGACGGAGACTCAGGGCCCCCCACAGAGGGTTGACGATCCATTTGAACCAAATCCGAAAACCATGTTCCCTGATGCTCAAACGGTGGACGAAGATCATAGTTCTCCCTGCTCGGCAACTTGCAACTTGCAGTCTTTTTGTCTGCAATCTTGCTATTCATTTCTTTGGGACGGAGAGATTAATGAATATGAGCGTTACCGGAAAGCAAACACCAAGATTTAAAAATCTTCAGCGAGAAGATGGGACCCCCTTATATCCAGCACGAGAACAGATCACTCCAAGCATTTTCCAATTTATTTGCGGTAAGTTCATGAGTTAAATCTTACCGTGTTCTCTTCTGATGCATTTTTTATTTACAGAAAAGCTTGTAGAACGTGTGGCCATGATGGCCATCCAAAGTAAAGGAAATAACGTATTTTGCCAACGAGAAGAATGTGCGCAAATACCTTGCGCAAAAAATAAGCAACCTAAATAAGGCGGCTGCTCGACGCACCTAGAAAAAGGCCTTTACAGGATACAGCTGGTGCCTACTAAATATAAAGACGAATATTTTGTTATTTTTTTTTTATTTGAAATGATTTTCTCCATTTATTTAATAATGTTTTTATGCTCAATCCAACCATTTGCTTGGTACAATGAATAAAACTGATTTAATCCATTAAAAAGGTATTTAATTTGATATGACAATATTATAGATCACATTGTATATGGTACGTATAGAGTGGGAATGCATTAAAATTTCAGCAATAATGGTTAAATTACACTACGGAAGCCATAAAGCGGGGATATTATTTATGGTTATAACGAACGATTTTACAATACCACGACTGTTGTGAATAATGTTTTCTACATATTGGAGAACCATAAACGATGAAGTTTCAATACACTTGTTGTGTTGAAAGTACATGAGGATTTGTGATTTTTCGTACGGTAAACGTTCTTAACAGCCCATTGATGTTATGGTCAGGTCTGTAAAAACATCAACCAATATGGTCAAAACAATAACCAGCTATGGTTCGATTATGTTCAATGGAACCATATCCATTATGGTCTCGGAAGGAAGATAAACCATTATTGTTAAGGTCATAATGTGGTTAACGTTTATGCGGGAAACCATTATTGTTAAGGTCATAATGTGGTTAACGTTTATGCGGGCGAAGCCAGTGGATCCATTGAGACGGGACCCGTCTGTAAAATATCTTTTCATGCAATTGACTTGTTGGTACTTTTCAGTAAAAATACGTGGGATAATAATAGGTCGAAGTTGATCGGGAATCCCATGAGTTGCTTGTTTCATGGTCAGATCATATTCAATTGAGGAACTGTGATTGGTGAAGTGAACACGGTCTGGAGTATAACAAGGAAGACACATATCTGATGATATGTAATGGTGGTAGATTCTCATAAATCGAGATTGTGTGTTCAGCCCAAGAATTTCTTCAAAATTTTCAATTATAAGTGTGTTTGTCACTCCGCATTTGATTAGTATTCTGAGAGAGAGCTCCCAGAAACGGTTCTGGAGGGGTGTTACTCCTGCCAGAACCTCGAGACTCATGTTATGCGTTGAGTGCATACAGCCTAGAGCAATACGCAGACAACGATATTGAATTCGTTCCAATTTTATTAGGTGACTTTTTCTTGCCGAGAGAAAGCAGAAAGAGCCGTACTCTAGAACAGAGAGAATAGTTGTTTTATAAAGCGTTATGAGGTCTCCCGGATGAGCACCCCACCATGTGCCGCAAATTGAACGGAGAAAGTTGATCCTCTGCTGACATTTTTGCTTCAAATACGTAATATGGGCATTCCAAGTGCACTTTGAATCAAACCAGACCCCAAGGTACTTGAAAGACAATGATTGAGTAATGTTTCTGCCCAAAAGATTAAGATGCATTTGGGCTGGGTACCGCTTTCGAGTAAACACTACCAGTTCAGTTTTCTGCGGCGAGAATTCGATCCCTAGATTCATAGCCCAAGAAGACAAGTTATCTAAGGAATTTTGCAATGGTCCTTGCAAGTCCACGGCATGTGGACCTCTTACGGAAACCACACCGTCATCTGCAAGTTGTCTTAGCGTGCATTGTTCTGCCAAACAGTTGTCGATATCTTTGACGTAAAAGTTATAAAGAAGAGGGCTGAGACATGAGCCTTGGGGCAGGCCCATGTAGCTAATTCTGGAAGTTGTCAGTTGTCCAAGGGAAAAGTTCATTTGCTTTTCTGACAACAAATTGTACAAGAAATTATTTAAAATTCCAGAAAGTCCACATCTGTGCAGATTGTCTGACAGAATTTCAATGGAAACTGAATCAAAAGCCCCCTTAATGTCCAAGAATACTGAAGCCAATTGCTCCTTGTGTGCAAAGGCCAGTTGAATATCTGTGGAAAGCAGCGCTAGACAATCGTTTGTTCCTTTGCTCTTGCGGAACCCAAACTGTGTATTTGATAGCAAGTTATTTGATTCGACCCAGTGATCGAGTCTCCGAAGGATCATTTTCTCCAACAATTTCCTAATGCACGAAAGCATAGCAATCGGACGGTATGAGTTATGGTCAGACGCTGATTTGCCAGGTTTTTTAATGGCTATTACTTTGACCTGTCTCCATTCAGGCGGTACAATGTTGTTTTCTAGCAAGGAATTGAATAAATCTAGCAAGCGTCTTTTAGCGATATCTGGGAGATTTTTCAGAAGATTGAATTTAATCATATCGCTTCCCGGTGAGGAGTTGTTCGATGAAAGAAGAGCCATAGAGAAATCCAGCATTGAGAATGGTCTATCCAGAGAGCCGCCGCTAGGAGACGCTTCTCGAAGAATATTTTGTGCTGGAACTGAGTCCGGACAGACCTTTTTAGCGAAATCGAATATCCATCGGTTGGAGTATTCTTCACTCTCATTGAAAGATGAGCGGTTACGCATGTTGCGAGCCACCCTCCACAAGGTGTTCATTGAGGTTTCTCGTGAGAGTCCCTCGACGAAATTGCGCCAATAACCGCGTTTTTTTGCTTTGATTAATTGTTTCAGCTTTGTCTCAAGCTTTGAATATTCCTCGAAGTATGTGGAGGTTTTGTGTCTACGAAAAGCTTTGAAAGCATCAGATTTTTCTACATACAATTTTGTGCATTCTTCGTCCCAACCAGGTGTGGCTGGTCTCCTTTTAAAGGGTGCACTTGGAACTTTTCTTTTTTGTGCTTCCAGTGAGCTTTTGTAAATTAAATCGGCTAGGAATCGATATTCTTCCAATGGTGGAAGCGCATCTATTGATTCGACACCGATTGTCACCGCCGTTGCATATTTCTGCCAGTCGATGTTCCTTGTAAGATCAAATGGAACCCGAGATGGTTCTGCAGAGTGAGGGCCACACTTTATTGAAATGATGATTGGCAAATGATCGCTACCATGGGGATCATTGATAACCTTCCACTGACAATCCAATGATAGCGATCTTGAACACAAAGATAGGTCGAGTCGGCTTTCTCGAGCCGGAGGTTTTGCTATACGTGTCGCTTCACCTTGAACACTGGTCAAATTGAAATCGTCACATAAATCTAAAAAATAGCCGCTCTATTGTCGTCATATAGATCGCCCCACCCAGTACCATGGGAGTTCATATCACCCAGAATTAATACTGGGGATGGAAGAATCGAAACTAGATTCCAGAGTTGACTACGGCTAATGGAGGTTCTTGGTGGAACGTATACTGAAGCTATGCAAAGATCTTTGTTCTTCACATTTATTTGGCAAGCAACGATTTCGACGCCTGATAGAGCAGGAAGGGAAATTTTGTAGAAAGGGTAGCACTTTTTGATCCCTAAAAGTACTCCTCCATAAGAATCGTCTCTATCCAGGCGAATAATGTTAAAATCGTGGAAGTTGAGTTCTTTATCGGAAGAAAGCCATGTTTCACAGAGAGCAAATATATCACAATCAGAATTGTGAAGTAAAAATTTGAACGAGTCTAGTTTAGGCACTAGACTACGGCAGTTCCACTGTAGCACAGTGATCATATCTTCAACCTCGTTCGACGAATTATCCATCGAAAGATATGATTGATGCAAGGAGGGGCCATGAAACAGTCAATTGCTTAAGATATGATTCTAATGTTGGAAGCAAGGCAGAAACTAAGCTTCTAAGAGGGTCTTGTATGTTGAACATGTTTAATATGAATTCCACAATGTCCGAAAAAGCTAGCAAACCGCGTTCGGACTTGGATTTCTTTTGAGAAGTTTGAGGAGCAGCTTTTTTGTTTTTCTTTTCTTTGTTGGGTAATGGCGGAAAATCCTTACTGCAGCCAGGAAGTGGAGCAGTAGGAGCCTTCGATTTAATTTTTTCATCCCCATTACCCTGGGAATTTTGCAATCCTCTGGGAGTGACTTTAGTTTTCTTACGGCGCACTTTCGGGGAGGAGCATTTTCGTTTTGAGGATCCGTTCGTTTTCAAAGGTGCGTGTACCACCGTAGAGTCACCCTCATCGGATGAGTCAGAGTCCGATTCTTCAGCTGACAAAATCGAAAATTGATTTTCATCTTGGACGGCTGATGCAGCCTTCACCATTTGTGCATATGACTGCTTGGAGCGTCCAGAGATTGAACGCTGCACTTTATCGGAGTGCTGCTTGTACATCGGGCACTCCTGCAAGGGGTGAGGATTCTCGCCACAATAAGCGCATTTTACTGATTCTTTGTGGCAAGAATCCTCTTTGTGGTTTTCACCACATTTGCCACAACGAGTTTTGTTGCCGCAATGGCTGGCTGAGTGTCCCAGCCTTTTGCAGTTGGTACAATTATATACCCTCTGTACAAACAACCGCACCGGAAAAAAAGCACCATCAACTTTGACAAAGTTTGGGAGAATTGAACCAGCGAAAGTCACCCGAAACGAGTCTGAATGCTGATAAACTTTCTTGCCATCTTGCAAAGATACTGAATGCAGTTGCCTAACATCCAGTATCTGTACCTGCTGACCGATTTTCGAGTTTTTGAAGCAACCCGATGCTCGTTTTAAATCCTCGACACTCAGACTCGCGTCGGAGACCACACCTTCTATCTCCACATCTCGAGAAGGGATGTAGATGTTGTACTCAACACTAAACAGCTCATGTTCAGCAATTTTATTTGCCACATCATAAGTCGGTGCTTCTACACGCAGTTTATTGAATCTCTCTTTATGTACCAAGATTCCCGGATACTTACGCAGCAAGTCTCTCGAAATGTCGAGAGTTTTCAAAGGTTTATTTTTAGGCCGAAAAAAGACAACCCATGGTCCTTTCGAAGACGGTTGATAGTATTTAGTTCGCGCAACGTAGGTATCTGAAGACGCCATAAGTGTTGCGCAAACGCGGTGCACAACCGCTCAAAAAGGAAAAAAAAAATACTTCAAAAAACCTTCACCAATTAATCTACTTAACTACTAGTTGTTAATATTTTGTTGCCCAGTGTATGAACAACCAAACAAAACAATACCAAAATTATCAAAAAAAAAAAAAAAAACTTTTTATTAGTTGCAAGAAGTTGCACCACTATAGCCCTCACAGCCCTATCAGGGGAGAGGGCAAAGCCACGCGCAAAATTCAATAACAAAAGCGCGGCAATGGGCTAGAGAAGACTATTGTATAGTATACTTAACACCGGCCGGTGCCGGCTGTGTGAGCTGGTGCAGCCACTCCGTTTGCTGCTTTGTTGTTGTTGCTTGCTGCTTTGGAGTGGTGATGAGATGATGACGGTGAGATGATAGTCCACCTATAGCGTCGCTAAAGGTGGCTACTTCCTCTGCTGACTGCGGTTGCCTTGGGCACTGAACTTCGTCCACGGTAGGTAAAACGCGCGATATAAAAAAACCACTATGGTGGGAAAAAAAACTCCACCGGCTACGAAACCAATACCCGCAACGGAGACACGAACAAACTACGTCCGGCTACTTCAAGCTATCGGCGAGGAATGAGTTTGTCATGGTAGTCGTAGCAACCGTTTTGTCTGTATCGTTGGTTGCTTTATGTTTTTGGATTCGCTTGGATTCAGCGATGTCTTAAAATGTTGTATGGCATTATCATGGCAATATGAGTGAGCACAGGGATCCCAATGTCCTTCAGAAAACGCTGATGTTCCATCTGCAGTTCTATCAACAATCAATACGAAACTAACGATTTTAAATTGGCTCACCACTTTAGTAGCCTATTGGTCCCAAGCAAACGATTAACGTACCCTATTCTAGTTGAAATTCTATTACTACACTATGTTTGTTTTGATTCGCTATGAAAGTTTGACAGATAACATCAGGGGTGTGTGGATTCATGCAGAACATGCAGGGTTGAGTGAAATAGCTTGGGACTGCTTGGGACCGTTGTTCTGGTACTGAGTGAGCCAAAAACAATAATGATTTTCTTCGGGACCCAGTGGTCTTAGAGTTACCTCTATGGTTCTATGCTGTCCACTACGTCCGATGTAACATCCCACATCAACATTTCCTAGATAAGCCTATTGTTTTTTGATAGGATTGAATAAGATGCTTTTATTTTCAAATATTTCATTTTTCTTACCTTTCCAATTTACGAAACGAATCCTTATCTACCTCTGCAGCCACTTGATTCACTTCTTTATTCTAAATTTTCAAAACTTCAAAGGGAAATCGGAAGTTTAACCACCAACAAAAATTTTCACTTTTTTTACAAGTATTTGACATAAGCATGGTGAGTAACATTTGTGCAGGATTACTCAAAAATGAGTAAACAATGTTTTTAGACAAACAGAGGAGAAGTTACTCACTTTGCTCAATCAATGTTACTCAGATTTTGACATTTTGTACAAAAATACCAAACTGAGTAGAAGTTACTCACTTTTGAGTAACATTGAGCGAGCGTGTCGTTTTCGTTTTTGCGGTGTATCACTGGTGTAGTGTAAGCAGGAATAAGCGCGAGTCTTTGACAGCTCAACATCATTTGTTTGTAAACAAAGGTGCATTCTATATCTACACCCTAAAATATTTCGGTGTACGGCAGTGTAGCACCGGTGTAGCTAGCTTTCATGCTAAAAAATACTGGTTTTTGAGTCAAAAGTTATTATACGTCGTTTGGTGGCCCCTATTGTTACTTAAGTCAAAGTGTATTTACCAGGATCTTCGGGAGAATTATCAATTACGTCTCCTTACGTGCAGCCCATTTATCATTTTAGGACTACCGAAATCATTTAAGCAACAAACAGTTCTATTTATTCACTTTAATAATGAGAAATCGAAACGACGAACGTACACTTTTCACTGGTTTCTCTGCGCTGTTACTTAAGGCAAACGGCATCTCCATAGAAATCGGGTGACTTAACTAACATCGAAAACTATTTTGATCGGAAGGTGATTACGTCAAAAAGCAATTTGACTGGTAAATAATTTTAAAAATGGGATGTGATCCTATATTCAGACAGTATGTAGTGTAATAGCAGGAGCATCGATTGACACTGATAGCTCGACTTTGTTTACCTTTGTTACATTCGACGTAATGAAAATTTGCTCTTGAATTTTAAAAATTTTAATAATGTTTGATTGAATTTTAAGCTTTTTTGATTATACATATATCAGTATAGAAAAAGAATAAAATTTAAGACTGGAAAGATTATTTCGAATTTATTCATGCATGAATTCTGCCGAAGTAATCATGGCTCGGACTCAATAAGGTGAAGTGGGAATCTGCATACTTTTTAAGCTTTTTTGATATAATTTATCTTTGAGTGAAGGCATCTATCTCTGAGCGGACATGTCCTGTCCTAGGTCAACGTTATTATCATACAGTGGCGACATCTACGCTGAGCTTTTACTGAATTCTCCCAATCATCTGTTGCTTTTAAGTTGGCTGCCGTAGTATTGGTTCATTCTAGCCTGTTTCACACGCACACATTATCCCGTTAGCTGGTCCGTCGGATTAGTGATCGGCGCTACGTTACGAACGGCACAGGGCGACAACGGTGTGTATGTGCGTACATATTTACTCAACATCCGTAATCACAAAATCAGTAGAATCGTTCGTGGGGTTCGCGCTCGCGAATGTACGTGTGAGATCATCCAATTTTTCCTCATCATCGCAATCGTACTTAATAAATAATACTCGTACAGTATAGGTAGAAACTCCATCACCAAAACCAATGGAGGCAATCGCGTAATTAAATGCAAATAGCGACGAGCGAAGAGAAGAACAAACTCGTCGTCGGTCGTTGTTCACAACGCACAGTGTCTGTCTGTCAGTGTCAGTTTTTGTCGGATGAAAAATAGGAGCGAATAACCAACCAGTCCAGCAACAGTCGAGTGGTGTGTGTCGTAAAATTCGTGTGCTGATTTGAAATTATTTTACGTGGAAAATTTGGCACTTTACGCGTCTCGGAAACGTCGCGAAAGTCGGTGGAACGTATCGGCCAGGAAGTGCGTTTGTTGGACGAACCGGGAGTTGGCTGGAATTTGTGCGTTTTTTTCCATTCGATTCCGGAGGGTCGGGGAGTAAATTGGTTCGTTTCTCTCGTGTTGGTGGTTGTATCGCTGCGCTGCTGGTTGGCTGACTGGCTGGTGTCAGGAAAAAGGAAGAAGGAAGTGCTGTGCGGGTGGCAAGTGCGGAGCGGAAACCTCAATGACGAGACTCGGCTGATGTGAAGAAGACTACAACAGCAGCGGAGCGGGCGGTTGATGACGGTGATGATGATTGTGATCGAGCAGCAGCACCAGCAACAAATATAGCAACTGTTTTCTGATGAAAAGTAATGGACGAAACTCGGTGATCATTTTGATGCGGCGTGATAATTGTGTTAGTGGAGTTTTTCTCGATCTCGCTGGTGCTTGTTAATTGGTTCAGAGAGCAGCTACTGGAAAAAATAGTAGCCAAGCGAGAAAAAGTTGTACAATCCGAATATAATACGCGAAAGAGAAGAAAAAAGGTGTTTACTAGGTGTGATTAGAATTCGCATATATTTTTCGTTGTTTGTGTGTCGGAACGAAGAAATCACTCTTGAAGAAAATGAATGAAATCGAAGCTCTTCGAGTTGAGGCGGAGCAGCTGAAAAATGCCATTCGAGATGCACGGAAAGCAGCTTGTGACACATCGATCCTGCAGGCCACCAGCCATCTGGAGGCCGTTGGGCGGATTCAGCTTAGAACCAGGCGAACCTTGCGAGGTCATTTGGCCAAAATCTATGCTATGCACTGGGGTAGCGACTCCCGGTACCTAGTGTCTGCATCACAAGACGGAAAGCTAATAGTATGGGATTCACACACCACCAACAAGGTTCATGCAATTCCACTCAGATCGTCGTGGGTTATGACGTGTGCATATGCTCCATCCGGGAATTACGTTGCCTGCGGTGGCCTGGATAACATCTGTTCCATCTACAATCTCAAAACTCGCGAGGGTAACGTACGAATTGCTCGGGAATTGGGAGGCCACACGGGTTACCTATCCTGCTGCCGATTCTTGGATGATAATCAGATTGTAACCAGCTCGGGTGATATGTCTTGCGCCCTGTGGGACATCGAAACCGGTCAACAGTCCACGTCCTTCCAAGGTCACACCGGTGACGTGATGGCCCTTTCGCTAGCGCCCCAAAATAAGACATTCGTTTCCGGAGCCTGTGATGCTACTGCCAAACTGTGGGACGTTCGTGAAGGCCAATGCAAGCAGACATTCCCTGGACACGAGAGCGACATCAATGCCGTTGCCTTCTTCCCGAGCGGTCAAGCTTTTGCCACCGGTTCCGATGATGCCACCTGCCGTTTGTTCGACATCCGTGCAGACCAGGAACTGGCCATGTACTCGCACGATAACATCATCTGCGGCATAACGTCGGTAGCATTCTCCAAATCCGGTCGACTACTGCTGGCCGGGTACGATGACTTCAACTGCAACGTGTGGGACACGATGAAGGCCGAACGAGCCGGTATCCTGGCCGGCCACGATAACCGCGTATCCTGCTTAGGGGTCACCGATAATGGCATGGCCGTGGCGACCGGCTCGTGGGATTCTTTCCTGCGCGTGTGGAACTAGGTGAGTGTGTTTGCTGAGTATTTTGAGGATATCGCTGACGCTGGATTTAACAACATTTCATTTTTCATTCACAATCATGATTGTCCCGAATGTCCCGTCTCCGAACGCCACATTACCATTACACCGATTGTTAACAGAAGGCAGAATATCTTTCGGGAAAGTAGCCATTAGGAGTAATGGCGTTTGGGGAATTGACATTCGATATCTATAATTGCATATCAGTCCCATATGGAGTTTCGTCAATTTTAAGATAGCAACGTTATCCACTATCAATTGGCATCAAATTTCATATTACGTGGATTATGAAAATGTGAAAACAACATCAAGGCAGTTTGTCCCATTGAGCAAAGTAATCGCATATCATCCCCATCCTGAAATTCGATCGTACAAAGGTCTAGTTACAGTTCTGTTATTTAGATTGCCATATTTTTCGCTAATATGTATAACAAATAATGCCAGCTCCATTGTAACTGATTTTAACTTGATAAAATATCAATTACAGGACTGATAGTAGGTCACTTTTTAGTGACTTGGTCACTATTTTGAAGTCAGTCACTAAAAAGTCACTTTTTACATCCAAAGGTCACTAAAATCACTTTTTCACAACCAAAATAAATTGAAACCTTTTAATATCAACAAAATGTTGAAATTGAGTACTTGGCACTAAGGAAGTCTACAGTAGTTATGACAAAATATGCGTGTATGTTAAAAAATCTAAATTTTAACTAGGGTGACCAGTGAACCAAGGAACTTTCAACACCAGGAAAAATACTGGGAAAAGCCTTCAATTTCGATTACAAATCGGGGAAAATATAGCTTCTTTTCCCGAAACTAAATGCTATACCTTCAAAACTTTTCAGAAGAATTATCAAGTAATTTAATTTCTAGGCACGACACCAAGATATTTCAGAGAAGAATACCGAGTCTGCACTACGAAAAGCTCATCTAGAATTAAGTGCTCGGAGGGCCAATTTCTTCACCTCCGCTTAAATCTGAAACCAGGTTTACCCATATAGTTAAACCAGGCTTAAGGCTTAAGCGGAGGTGAAAAAACCGGTACAGTTGAAAGTAGTGCTCCACGTGCGTTTTATTAAGAGTTCTGAGAAGAAATCTATGATGATTGGATGAGGGTTCTTGGTCCTATTCTAATAAGATTTCAAAATTAGTTCTGTGTTTTTTTGATTAAGAGAGCTCTGATGAGAATTCCCTGGAACTCCCGTTGACTCCAAAGATGATTTCTACGTATAGTTCTAAAAGAATTCTGGGGTGATTTCAGAGGATACTTACAAGAGACTCTAGAGAGTTCGAAATAAGTTCCGAGAGGAATTCTAATGGAATCGAATTTTGAGGGTTCAATCTCAATGGAATTCTGAGAAGAGTTTCAAGGGTATTCTGAGATAGATTTTTGTTTTGAAAATTCTGAGGTGAATACGAATTAAATTTGCAATAAAGTTCAGGGTAGAAGTCTATGATTATACTAAGCAAAAATTTATAACATTTCTGAGGTTAACTGCACGGGAATTCTAAGCAGAGTTCAAGTAAATTTAAAATGGCTTTATGGAAGGAACGTTCAGAGAATTCATGGAACAGTCATTAACATATTTAAAATAATCTACTTTATGATGGAGAAGTAACCGATGAATTAGCTACAAGCTGTAGCATGCCATGATAATATGTAGTAACGAATAAATTTAGTTTTCAATTCACACCAAGCAGACCTATTCACTCAATTGTACCATTACTTTAACTAATCATGTGTTATTACTTCATACGTGAATCTAACGGTTTACATAGTTGGAGATGCTTATCGTCAAATATTAGACTTAAGGTGGACATTTGATACGATCGATGAGGAGATGAAAGTATAGAGTTGATAGTTGTATATAAAAAGTAGAAAGCGAGAAAAGGACAATTTTGAGGAAGGTTCGAATCGGGTAGATGCTTACGTCAGAATACGTAAAGAGTGGAACGGTCAAAAATTGGTCATCGTAGTCTTAGACAGACAGCTCTAGTGGCAGAAAAGGTTGGTTGATTTCTAGTGCCTGGTCGTCCTCAGGAATGGAGATGTTATCCAACAAGTGCGTCGACACATCATTGGTTCGTACGACCGAAGCGGTTATCGCACCCGTCCAGATCAAAGATAGAAACGAAGGCCAGGGCTGGTTCTTTCGAGGGATGGTTCATGAATAGCTGCGTGCTAGCCCTCAGTACATGTCTCCTGACTTTCATTGCAGCTTTAATCTCGGGGAATCACCATGATAGTGACTTGGGTCACGGAATGGATCTGGTGTGTACGATAGACTAGTGCTGCTTGATGAATGGAGTTGAATGCTAACCGCAGGATGGCCACTGAACCGGGAATCGAAAACAACCGGAAATTTGACTGGAACTTTAACATATAAAAAATCCGATCTAATCTTATAATCTTGAATCTAGCACCATAATTTTGAACAGTTTTTCAATACCAGGATCTTGAAATTTGTACTCAATCGGCGTTTCTGAATGTTGAATTTCTATACACGGAATCCAAACTGGATTGTTTCTTTGGAACTTATTTCAGATTATTTTTACGAATTTCACAAGGATTTCCTTAGAATAATTTCAAAATATCATCGAGAATTACTTTAACTTTTAGGATTCCCCTCACTTGTGATTTTGTCCAATATCGGGAGTACCCACTATTCTCCATAAAGTTTCAGGATTCTGTGCAAAACACTATAGGAATTCCCTCCAGAAAAAATAATATTGGAATTCATTCTACATTTATCTTTGTACTTGTACACTTGAAATATTATAAAAAATCTCTTGGTATGCCATTAAAAATTTGGAATAGTAGAACCAGTATTGGAGGTACTAAGAAAATGTATTTATTAAAATATAAATAACGACATTCATGTAATTTTTATACGCTTTCAATCTATTTTGCTAGCAAAATATTACATTGTGATTAAATTGAATACGTTTTTCAAAAACTCGTCTTCCATTAATAGGAATACTGTTCCAGTAGTTGTGGTAGTTGATAACTTTGGTTCCTAGTGGAACGCATTGGCTTCTTATGGATTCCACTATTACACTACCGCAACTTTTGAACTACTACCAAGTTGCAAGTATGCAAATCTATTTTATTTTAGAAGAGTTATCTATGAAAAATAAATTTATCAGGTCTTCGACTATTTTTCTAGCATAAACCCCATACCCCAACTATAGGTACACCATTATTACTGCCCTATCCCTTTTCACTTCAGAATTCCATAAAAAAATGCCCTTGAGAGGATCTCTTGCAATTTTCATAGAATTCTCTGAAAATCTCCTTATATTTTTTTAAATTTCTTTAGAATATCCTGGAACACTACTTAGAGTTGCTTAAGAAATATGATCAAAATTTCCTGCAAAATCCTTCCAGAAACTTCTTGAAATTCCATCAAATTTCTTAACAATTTTCTTTCAGCAAAATTCTGCATAAAATTTTTGATCTATATAGACATAGACCCTGCGCAAGTGTAAAGCAGCAGAGAAGAGAAGACAGACTCACACCCAGAAACAACCAAAGCTCAATGTGTTGCCATTGCTCCGACAGGTCGGACGCAAGGAGCGCCACTCAATGGGAAACCCAGCAAAAAGACAAAATTCTTCTTCGTTATGCTCTTCTTCATCTCCTATGCATGCAGTCGTGGTAAGCAAAGTCTGCAAAGAATTCTGCTTGTTGTATTATATTCGCTCCCTGTGCCGCACCGAGTGTACCGCTCATTGTGTGGATCGCTTTCTCACAGATTAGTTGGAAAAGAGTGTGCGAACTAAATGGGAGAACCACACACTCTTTGTCGAGTGTCGTGAGATGCATGCACAAAGTTTCCAGCCCTAGTTACCATGCTTCTGCGTTAATTTTCCTTCAGATGTTACTGCTGTTCTTAATGGCGACATCTAATGGAAATTACGCATACACTTAGTTCCGTTAATTGTTAACAGGGGGCAGTGCGGTCAAAACATACATGGTACCTCTATATATGCAGTTAGTTTAACATCTGGAGTTCCTCCTTTCTCACATATTCGGCGTCAAAAATACTTTCCAAGCTCCGCCCCTGGACGGAAAATCAAATTGCATAAATAGGGGTACCACATTTTTTCAAGACTAGGTACTATCTTTTGTAGTCTGTGAAAGGGAAATCACATATCGTGTGCCATCAATACACATGTTGACTTCATGGGATTTTAATGAGACTAGCAGTAAAACGGGTAGAAAATGTGTGGGAAAATACAGTTTATATTTAATTGTAGCTTGTTAAACAATAATATCCGGGAAAAAACTTAACGACTAATTTCGTTAAGTTGTCGATCACTTTTCTCTATTTTTATAAAGATATTTTTATTACTTCCTACCAGCGGAACAGCGCCATCTCTGTTGAAAATGACCTGAAGATATGATTCATTAGATGCTCTTGGAATAATTATCCATTTTTCCTTGCAGCTCTCCTCAGAATTACTCTTTGATCAATGAATCGATCAACATTAAAGAGATTTTTAGCCTTAGATGAAGTCTCAGGATTGTAGTAGTATCATAACAAACAGTCATAATACCGAACCTGCAAAATGCGAGGTGATGGTGTGAACAAGCTTGCCGTTCGGCAACGAGACAGTCGTGCTGTGTCACAGAGTCGACACGCCTTTGGTTGGTTCGGTATTATGACAGTTAAGTTTGCCTTGCGGTTAATTAATTTTAAATCGTTTTGAAAATTGCCTTAGAATGCTCCGGAATTCCTTCCGATTTACTTAAAAGTTCCCTGAAATTCTACTCATAATCCCCATAATAATCTCTTCAGAACTACGTTAGAAACCACTTGTAGTTCTTATTACAGTATTCTTTAAATACTTCTCTAAATTTCAAATTCCATTGAAAATCTACCCAGCCATCCTTTATAATTATCGATCGAATTTCTTTACAGTTTTCCTTTACTCATTTTGCATTCTCATCCTAATACTCTAACCAATGCTTTGAGGTGTCA